CCCAGCACTGGAAGTGGGGCCCACCTCGTTCCCCAGGAACACGGGCCGCACGTAGAGGCTGGCGCCTGAGCTGTCGGGGACCCAGTCCTTGTCCACTTCCACCAGCCGGCGGATGCACTCCAGGAACTCCACCTTGTCGAAGCTCTGCACGGGATTCCCACAAGTCAGGGGCCCTGCGTGGCCCTCGCTGCACCCCACGCCCCCCGCCACCAGGGCGGCCAGGGCCCCTCACCGGCAGGCAGAGGCGCAGGGCCGAGCGCAGCATGCGGTCCATGTTGAGCCAGGGTCGGAAGAGGCGCACCTGCTGGTCGCCGCCTTTGAAGGCCTTCATGCCCTCGAAGAGCTGCGGGGACAGGTGGGCAGGCGGCTCAGAGACCTCCTCACACAGTTGGGAGGAGACAGTGAGAGACACCGAGACAGAGGCCGATACACAAGCCAACAGACAGAAGCAGAGATACAGAGCTGGGGAGAGACCACCCCACTGAGCACACAGAGAAGGAGGGAGAGAGACCCAGAGAGTCAAGACACAGAGACACTCGAGAAAGCAAAGGACAGAGACCAGAGAAGGCGTAACAGAGAGACCCAGACGCAGAGGTGCAGAGAGTGTGCTGTTCACGCCCTCTCCATGTTACTGGTACCATTTCTCAGGACTGATGATGGTGCTGGAGTTACGTTTTTAAGGAGTCCTTGTGTAGCCCTGGCCGGGTAGCTCAGTTGGTTAGAGCATCATTCCAATACGCCAAGGTTTCGGGTTCAATCCCTGATCAGGGCACATACAAGAATCAACCAAGGTCCTGGCTGGTGTGGCTCAGGTGGTTGGGCATGATCCCATGCATGAAAGGGTCTCGGGTTTGATTCCCAGCCAGGGCACATACCTAGGATGCAGGTTCGATCCCCGGTAGGAGGCCCTCTCACATCGATGTTTCTCTCTCTTTCCTGCCCTCTCCCTTCTCTCTTTAAAAACCAATAAAAAATCTTTAAAAAAATAAAAAGCATACGTTTTGTATCCCAGGGCCTCCGAACCCTTTCATCTGCACTCACTCAACTGAAGAAGTGCTGGGTGACAGAGAGCTGGAGGACAGAGAGCTAACTAAATGGTAGCCTCCAAAAACCCCCTTCCTGTGGTCATAACCCCCTGACTGTCCATCCTTAGTATCTAACTGCTGCCAACCAGTTAGCACAGAACTGACTGGTTCTGGTCAAATGTCCAGAGTAGATGGGGGGGAAAACCCTCAAAATTCTTAAAAGAAAAAAAAAAAACATGCCCAATGTCCCAGAACCATGCCCAAAGGAACAAAAATTACTCAAACTACAAACCAACGACTAGACCTGTACTACGCCCAATCAAATCTCATCACAGCTAGAGTCTCCTCCAGGAAGTCCTTGCTTTCAGCCATAGCTTTAAGTCACAAGCCAAAGGCCACCCAGATAGCTCTCTTCACAGGCCCCTTACCAAGCCCTGCAAGGCCAATCTGCCTCCCGAGACCCCATACAGGCACAGCCCCATGGACAACCGGATCTCCTGGCCAAACCTCTGGGCATCCTCCTCAGCCCTCCCTGCCCTTCTCTCTCCCTGCCTGCCAATCCCTCGTATCCCTGAATCTCTCTGTCCCATCCCTTCCTGCCCCTCCCCAGCTCTAGCCCCAGCTCAGGCTTCCCCATCTACCTATTTTTTCCTACCCTGACCTTCGCTCCAGCTTGGCCTCCGGTCTCCCCGCTCCAACTCACCCTGCACATGTTCTGACAGGTCTCATGCACCCGGGGCTATCCTTGTTCCACACCTGCTCAGAGCCGCCCTGGCTACCAGCGCCTCTGACAAGGTCCTGATGACATCCTCAGCCTCCGCCACCACATTCCAATGTCACAATTCCCCCAAGTATGTGAGGCCCTTCTTTGTACTATGTCTCTGTACTGGCTGTCACCTCTCCCTCTGACACCCTAAGTTCTCCTCTTTGCCCACACAGACCCCACTTTCTTTCAAGTTAGAGGCAGAATTAGGTCTCTCTGGCCTCTATCAGAGCTCAGATCACACTAACTTGTAACCAAACTGTGGGGTTTTCAAGTGAAGGAACGGGATCTGCTCATCTCGGGGACCCCAGCATCATCCAGCACAGGGCCTGGAACATGAGTAGCCTCAGAGAACAGATGATAAGTACAGGGAAAGAAGAAACACACAAGCAGCGACTCAGGAAGGTGGACCCGGCAACAGACACAGCAAGAGGGAAGAGATTGGAGAGAGGGGGGTAGATGTGGGCCATGCCACCTGCAGTGAGTAGTGGAGAGCAGAGCAGGCCGGGTGCAGTGTGAGGTTCTGGAAGGGCTGGATTCTGGGGTGGCTCCAGCCCTTCTCAGTCCACTCCACCATCAGCATGTGGTCAGTGAATGTCTTCCCAAACACCAGGGGCTCGCTGGGGTCAGGCTTCTTCTGAGGCTTCTGTGTCATTTCCAGCTGCAGGTCTGCAGCCTGAGAAAAGAAAAAGAATCCTGGAATCTGGCCACACCCTCCAAACTGGAAAAAAAAACATACAAAAAACTACAACTCCCATGAATCAATGGGGCAAAAGACCCAAAGAGAGGGTCTTGTGGTTCCAGAGGCTTCTGGGACATGCAGTTTCAACTCTTTCCCACAACCTGATGGTGGGCAATCAGGCTATCCCGTCGCTGCCCACCTTGACTTTTGAATGTTGGACCTTTAGGAGATTCCCAAATCCTACCCCAGCCCCCTCCTTCCTCAGATCCAGTAGTTCAGCCCCCCAGCCCCTTCCTCTTCCTTGGGATCCAAAAGTACAGTCTCTCCTTTTACCTTGAAGCTGGATGAGGCATATCTTCTGGGGCCAAACAGACGCCAAGGGACAGGGAGAAGTTTTCGGGCCCAAATCTGGGGATGGGGACAGAAGAAAGGTGGTGAGGCCAGGAGAGAGAAAGCAGAAGGCCCTGGCAAGTCCTTTGCTGCCTCCTTCACTTGGGAGGTACCCCTGGCCTATTCTGTCACAGACCCAGAGCACTCTAACAGGGCATGTGGCTGCGCCAAGCCTTTTTCCTCTGTCCTGACCAGCATGTAGCAGGAGGGGATCCTGAAGGAGGCCAAGTCCCTCCCTGCCCCTATAAGCACCATCCCTAGAAAGAGCTGGGTCTGCTTCCCTTCCCTCCTCCATGCTGGGGCAAAGTCAAACACACAGGCACCTCCCACCAGAGGGAACTTTGGCCCCAGCCCTGAGAGCAGTTCAGACAGAAGACGACAAGGGAAAGTACAGGTAAGTGAAGGCCTCGCTGGGGGGCTCAAATCCTGATTAGAGTGGGGGACAAATGTCATGCTTCCCCAGGACCCGGGATCTATACCCTCAGCTCTCTCCTCCCTTACACCCAGGGGTCCAGGCCCCCAGCCCCTCCTCCCTTACACCCAGGAGTCAAGGCCCCCAGCCTCTCCTCCCTCACGCCCAGGAGTCCAGGCCCCCAGCCCCTCCTCCCTCACACCCAGGAGTCCAGGCCCCCAGCCCCTCCTCCCTCACACCCAGGAGTCCAGGCCCCCAGCCTCTTCCTCCCTCACACCCAGGAGTCCAAGTCCATATTCTTTCAGAGTATTAGATCTACTGAATTCTGATTACTAGAAGTCCCCAGCCCCACACTTTGGACACCATTGATTCTAATTCCCTTCAGATCCCAGGGTTGAGGGGTAGCCACGTGGACCTGGAGGCCACCCCAGTCAGCCATGGACACTATCCAGATGAACACTTCTCTGTGGTCCTGCCCAAGGCCAGCAGGAGAGAGCAGGTCTGGCTGTGTCCAGCAGGGTGGCCTCNTCTGGCTGTGTCCAGCAGGGTGCCCAGTGTTCCTGGGCCTCACAGTGCCTCTTTCCCTGGCCTAGTGGGAAGGCAGCTGGGTCCTGAGACTGGGAGAGATGATAGCCTAGCCTGCTCCTGCCCTGCGAGCCGGGTGAGCTGACACCAATCCGTGAGAATGGATGTGAATGGCAGTGGTGACTGATCAGCAGGTGAGTCACGGGGAGAGGGGGGCTGTGGGGCTTCCATGTCCTAAAATCTGGGCCTTGAAATCTGAGGAGTAGCCCTGGGTAATGTGGAGCCACCGGCTTCTGGGACGTTAGGGTGTTGCTCCAAAACGTGCCTCTAGGTGGCGATGTGTAGCCCACATAAGCCTGTGGCCATGCTTCCGCCCAGGAGGGAACAGCACAGCCGCAGTCCCCAGACGCAGGGCAGAGACAGCCAGCATCTGGGCAGGACAGCAGCCCTCAGAGGGAAGCGGAATGGAAAAGAATAAAAGAGTAAGAGAGGGAAGAGCAAGAATGAGAAAAAGAGCCAGAGAAATAGAAAACACAAACTTGAAAGAATGGAAAACAAGCCCAAGAGATGACGAAATAGATATGGAGAGAGACTGAGAAAAGAGACAAGAGGGAGAGAAACTCAGGGCAAGTCAAGGGTGGAGAAATCAGGAAAAAATGCTGAGAGTGGGATAAAGAGAAGCAACGAGAGAACCAGGAAAAAGGAAAGAGAGGAAGACCAGACTTCAGCCACAAAGCACAAAGTGAAAGGGAGACCCAAAGGAAGGCTGCAAGAGACAGAATGATGCCAAGGCCTGGAGAGAAACTGTCAGTGAGGCTTAGAGAGAGAGGTATCCAGGACAGAGAGGAAAAGAAGGGCAGAAAAAGGGCACACCCACAAGGCAGAGAAGTGCTGGGCACAGTGTCCAGATAAGAAATCTGTGCTGTTCTTAGAGTCCCTGGGAGAAGCTGCCTTCACCCTCCCAGGACATTTCTCTATGGGCAGGAGTCTCGCCTCAGCTGAGAGAAGGTGCTCCACCACCTGACCCCCCAAACCATAGGGACTGGTCCCAAAGGAGACTCTCAGGTGGTAGATGGGCATTTGGGACAAAGAGTGTAAAAGTATGGGGGCTACTTAAGAAATGAGGAAGGTTGGGGGGGTGCACAGGGCAGGGTTCTGTAACATTATGCGGCCTCCATGTGCCTCATTACAGCCCAGTCTGTCCCCACCACAGTCCAGGACTGTCTCCCAACGTGGCCCATGAGTGTCACAATCAAAGCCCAGGGTTGTCCATATCATAGTCTAGTACCGTCTTTCACACATCAGGCCCGCCTCCACATCACAGCCCAGGAAGAGGCCCTGTCATAGTGCAGTGCCATGCCTGCATCACCCAGGGACTGTCCCTATCACAGCCCCAAACTTCCTTGTCACAGCCCAGGACTGACCCCTTCACATGTAGAACTGTCCTATTATAGCCCAGGACTCTCCCATCAGACCAGAGCTGTCCTATGACAGTTCAAGACTCTCCTCCACAGCCCAACCCCAGGCTGTCCCTGTCACTGCCCACGACTGTCCCACCAGATCCCCAGGAGTGCCCTAGCCATAGCTGTCTTCATCAGCAACTAAGACTCCGAGAAAAAAAAACACCTGCCCTGCTCTCCATCACGCTGGGCTAAGTAACCCAGACACAGGCAGGTGCCAAGTTACCAGGAAACACTTCTCCCAAGGTTATGTTGTAGCTCTCAAGGGTTGTAATGACCCCCCCTTCTTGGAGTTGTTACTGTTCCCTTCCCCACTGAGAAACCTCGTTCTCTAAAATCACAAACTGCTGGTTGTCATCATATCAGCAAGAATGGACTATCTCAGTCTTGCCTGGAGTATCCGTCACTCTGACGACAACGAGCTGCCTCGATTTCCAACCCAGGTGCGGAGCTTCAGATAAGGGGTTTCGGGGACACGACAGTCCACATCTATCTTAACTCCTTAGTTCCAAGAAGATAGGGTCCCGAATCCAATTCCCTGTCCAGGCCTGAGGATGAACTCTGCGCCCTTCATCCCACCCCTCCCCTATAGGTACTGGGAGCCCCTATCACGGTGCCTCCACCCGCCGACGGGTCCCTTCTGAACCCCACCCAGGCCCCTGCCTCTCCCATTACTGCCCCCTCCTCCACGTTTCCCTTCTCGGGCCTCCAGTCCCGGTCCCCTTCCCACCAATTAAGTTCCCCCACCGCCCACTAAAGCTCCCGGGTCCTTTCCAATGGGGCCCCTCCTCCTGGGCGCTCCGCGGCCGCACCCGAGCGCCGGGGCTGCGGGCGAGCGAGAAGGGCGCCCCCCGCGGGCTCC